GTTTCATTAGCGGGATCGTTTTTGGTTTTCACATTGTTCCCTTCTAATGATGTGATATTTTGGATGCACGTATTGCGTCCGCTTTCGCATAAAAGGGACAACTCTGAAATCAAAACTGGCTACAGAAACGACGGTAATAACCCCAAGACCAATGAAACTGTAGCCCACGGGATAGTTTTTTTTTTGTTTTTTTTTAATCATTTCCCCCCAAAGAAAGCGATAAAGACAGAAGGGGTTGTGAGTTTGAAAGTATCTGAGAAAAAAACAGAAATGGCAGCAATATTCAATGCCTGCATGAATGATAGACTTATAAATGTGCAAGACAGATTCCGACAAGAAAAAATATCTAGGCACCACATAATTGAATAATTTTCCTAGCAGCAGAGTTAGCAGTTGATTCAATATAATCCTTCCACTTCATGTCATGGGAAAACCTTAGCCTGAGAAGGCGCACTCTGTCACTAGGGCAACGTTGATTTTGGAACTGTTGTATTACACTCACTTTGAAAGTTGCAGTTTGACATGATAAATAACGACACAAAATAGTTTTTCTTTTTTAAAATCGTTACCGTTTTTTGAGGAAACGAGTTTGAAGATTAAGTTTAAGTTCAAAATATTAACATTGGAATTCCATTCCGGTGATCAGCGAATGACATCGCACTGTTTTATACCATTTATAGTTTACTGAAGCTTTACAAATTCTATAAAGACAAGATGCATGACCATAAAAACCATTGTGCCATCAAATAAGACCTTCATTTACTTCAAAGTGAAACTATACTCAACAATTTTTCTATATTATAATTTATCTATATTATCATCATTCGACCGTAGTCGGGATCATCGAGTCAATGCGATCGATCCTTTCATTAGCTGTATAGTATGTGCTACACCAGAATTACAGTTTTTGAGTTCAGAGTTACTTTCTTTTAGACCGGTTGCCACCCAAGGGTATAGAACCCATACCTGGTGGGGGGATAAAAAAAAATTCATACCTTTCGCAAGGTTATTAGCACGTAAGTGAATATAACGGATCCGACTGGAATTCGAACTCGGCTCTCCGATTCCTCATTCCGTTATCCATCACTCCACTGTACCTCAAAAACGTTGCACTGTGAAGTAGATTTACTGTGGTTTCATTAAACAATGCAAATTTAAAACATTTTGTCTTATAACATGTGCCAAGCACTATTATGGTGTTATATACACTTTTATCCATTTTCTGTTTTTATTAATTATGATTAATCATTGTGTAGCCTTTTTTTTATATTTTACTTGAACTAATTTTTACTTATCGAAAACAGTAAAGGAAAATTGCATATTTTGCTTGTGGTGATTCATAATCAGAATTCTGTTTGAATATATTTTCAATTCGTTGTATTCTAATACAAAAGGTATTAAAATTATTTGATTTTATTCTCAATATAGTAAAATTTTGAAATCAGTTTGTAAGCAAAAATCTGTGGAAATTAGGTATTCCTGTAGATTTTTTCAAACGATTTTTAAAACTAAATGCTCAGAAATTAGTAAAAGCTATAAATCTAATCTTTGTTGCCAGTACTTATGGTAACAAAGCCCAGCTTTCATACCGAGTGCAATGTTGAGTTTATAAAGAAAAGTGACAAATCAACCTGCCCTATTTTGTCACTCTGCTGATTGAAGGCAAAAATTCTTCTCTAAGACGATTAAAAGAGAGCAGTTTCGTTTTGGAGGCGTTAAAATTAACAAGCCATTCCTTGCCCCAGTTAACAACAGACTGAAGGTGATTTTTGAGGTCAGCTGCCATTTTGACCTTTTCAGACCTAACAGACTTACTATTAAGAAAGGAGTAAATAGTTGTGTCATCAGTACAGTTACCAACTCAAGAACTGATGACATCGGGAAGGTCGTTGACGAAAATTAGTTAGTCCAAGGATAGCGTCCTGAGGGATAGACGCATTAATGTAATACGAAAGTTTCCGTTAAAGACAATATTTATTTCACTATTTTATAAGAAAGATTAACTCAAATAAAAAATAATAATAATAACTTCAACTAAAGCAAGGTAATAAAGCCACTAAGACGGAATGTGTTACTGAGTATAGATTATATGAAAAAGAAGAGAAAAACCCTATTAAAAAGAGAAAACAATAAAAGAACAAGAGTTAAGAAGACCGTAGATAACGATTGACATTGCATTTAAATTTTGAAGATCGAAGATGACAGTGAAGTAAGAAGCCAGAAGAGACTTCTAGAAATTAAAATAAAAATAGAAAAAACGGTTAACATAGAACTTGTGTTTATGTGTATCCAGCATAGATACCAAGTTGAGAACTGATTCTATCAGGAAGGTCGTTGATGAAAATTAGGAACAACTTGAGTCCAAGGATAGAGCCCTGCGAGACGCCTGCATTATTAAAGAAAAAAAATCTATAAGAGTGGCCAGCCAGAAATCACCTAATCTTTCAACTTATGAAAAGGACCAACACACCTAACCTTGTCAAACGCCTTCGAGATATCCAAATAAACAGCCCAACCTCACCGTTCTTATCGAATTCTTGACAGATTCTTTCAGCAATAACCGTTAACATATCAGAAGTTGATCTAAAGAAGCGAAAGCCATATTGTCTGTCAGAAAGAAAAACCTGTGAGGTGGGACGCTTAACCATTCTGGAGTTGATTAAAGCCTCAAGGACTTTATCAAAAAGTAATACAGGTCGACAATTAGAAGAATCTGACTGTTCGATTGAGTTCTTAAAAACAGGAACTATTGAAGAAATTTTCCAAGAAGCAAGAATTCAAGAAGCAGTAAGACAATTATTGTAAAGTACAGGAGAGATTTCAAGACGGATAGAAGACTTGCCCTTATTTAACATACAGAGTTTTAAGTAGTCACTAGAATGAAACTTGGTAGTGAATAAATGCTTGGCTTCAGTGAGGGCGCGCTTGCAATTATTAAGATCCGAGACAAAGACGCGTACAGTGTGATCAGAACTATCACGTTGATACAGCATGAAAAGTGATTCCTGTGGGCTAAAGGGTTGAACATGCAGGCGTGAATCAAGAAGAACAATGTGGTTTCACCTGGTATTGTTTCCGAGTTGTCACAAAAGTATCCATGTCGGCTTTTACCCAAGAAAAATACTTCAGTGGCACGATTCTCAAAAGGAAGGTTAAAAATTTCACTCCAAGAGGCATCGCGAATCTCAATCAGTATTTTGATAACAGAAAGAAGTTTTGGGAATAGGAGGTTCACATCTAATAAACGGGTCAAAATCAATATCACCAGATATTACAGCGTGATCCGAATTGGCAAGCGGACAGGTTTGCGATGACTGATAAGAGCCAGGATAGGAGGTAAGGAACAGATAAAGTAAAGAAGTATGTTGATCAGAATTATTAGTGAAACGAGTTGGAAAATCTATTTGATTGAGAGACTGATCAAGGGAAAAAATGAAAGTCTGAAACTGCGGTAACGGAAAGATTAAACCACTTGGCATGATGAGCATTAAAATCACTATACACAAAGATGTTCGCAGTTATTGAAGAGAGAGGGAGATATGTTACTATACTTTCAGATATTTTGTCTAATATATTACAGTCCTGAGAAGAGGTAGAGTGATAAAGGAAAAACAGATAGTTAACAGAGTGCGATAAAGAAAGTCGAAAGCGCATGAAATAATCATCCGATGAATCAGGAGATGATCTCTTTGCAATTGAAACATTTCCCCGGGTGTAAACACCAAGGCCATATCCTCGAATCTTTTTGACAAAGAGGAAGATGACCTGGAACAGAGAATTCATTGGTACCTATAGAAGAATTTAAATTAGTTTCGCAGAACGTTAAGATATGTGGAGACCTTTTCAAAAGAAAAGATTTTACACCACAGAAATTGATATGGATACAACGAATATTGGAGAAAGAAATTAAACTGACTTAGGTGTTTTGTGTTGACTGGTTTACTCATAATTCTTTTAACTGTAAATGTCATGAGAAGATTATTTCAATTTTTAATGAGAATAAGGCCAAAATAATTCTCATTGTCCATTGTCTGTGGCAATACAAACCAACTGAAAGGCGGCTAAGACTAAAGCATGCTATGGACTCAAGTATACACAGGGACATATCCTCGTGTGATATGCCGCTGCAAATACCCCGATATCATCCAACTGTTGGCCAGTGCAGCCTTTCTAAGGACTACCAAAGAGTTCGGGCTCCTTAATACCAGTCGATATGCAAGCAACCAAAAAAAAATGCCAACCCGGTACTCTCAAAATGAAAAGTCGCAGCTACTGATCAGTCAGATCACCAAAAAGTTAAGACGGCTAAGTTGTTAAGGCCACGAAAGAAAGAAACCCGGTAAACGACAGCCTAAACAGGAAACAACGGATAAGCAAACTTAAATTACCAAATTTTCCGGGTTTTAAATGCACACCAGATTCTGAATAAAATGCAGACAAATTCGAAAATAACTTCCGTCAGTTTGACCACAGTTTTTATTGGGATGTTATTACTTCACTAGCGGATTTTTGGCAACTTTTATCGATTCTAAAGGGGTTTATTTTGGCTAATAAAATCGTGCTTAGATCTCGAGCGACTCGTGATAAAGTTACAGAGTAAGATGTACAGTTTATGAGGATATGTAGGGAAGATAACGGTTAATCCGAGGCTCGATCTGGTTAAGATTATCGTTATCGGTGATGCACCTTATTATCATATATGTTAGTGAAAATTATTTATATATCGTATGTGGTACAAACGAATGAAAAATTACATTTTCCAAACAGAAAAATCTATCGTAGATTGTTGTTGTTCTTTTCTCATTACCGAGCCGATCGTAGAAGCGACGGTGATGCAACCAGCCACCGCCAATCAGATCTGTTTTCTGACTTATGAGGTGTCTATACTGGTTCATTCTTTGATGTTGTCCATCTAGCTTTTTGGGTTGCTTCCCACTACGCCTACCCACTTCCAAGGTACCTTGAAGGACTGTCTTGGGTAAAGTACTGAGACGTATGACATGTCCAAGCCGCAACAGCTTTCTCCTTTGCCAAGATGGGCTCCTGGGGGACTGTCAGTTGTGTTATTTGGCCCTGTACAAAGTCATTTGTTTTGTGTTCTTTCCAGATCTCGAGAAGATGTCTGAAGTAGTATTTCGTTTCAAATATTTAGATCCTCTTGGTGGTTTCTGCTATCAGAGTCCAGCCTTCCCATCCATAGAGCAGTATTGACAGTAACAGCGGCTTGTAGAGCTTCATTTTGGTTGGAAAGCCGATGTTTTGGCTCTTCGAAATCGTACAGAGTTTCGCTATTGCCAATCTGATTTTGATCTCTGTGGTAGAGCGTCCATCTTTGGTGAGGATAACACCAAGATATTTACAAGCCTCCACTACTTCCAGTTGTTCTCCGTTTATGAAGATCTGGATTGTTCTAATGAACCGGAAAGAGCTTCAATTATTTTCCAAGCGGGAAAACGTGTCAATCTGAAAAATTCTCAATCCAGTACATTTCACATCAGTATTCTGGTGTTTAATCATTAAAATACTGATTTTTTGGGAAGTTAATCGATTCAAGAACAGTTTAATCCTCTTGTACAATATTCTCGGGTTTCTATTTTTACCTTAATGCATATGCACAAATAGGCAAAGTTTAACCTTCGTGCCCGTTAAAAACGGTTTGTCAAAAGTACGGTTTTTTTCCTTGACATTGCTATTTTTTGCACGCCCTTCACCCCTCCCAACTCAGCAATACGATGATTAGAATTTAAATGAAACCCAAAAATATAAAATTGAATTTATATATTTTCTTGCTCTTGAGAATTTAGGTTACTTATTTACCAGAATAACTTTATATCTACTACATTCTAAAATGCGAACCATACAATGGAATATCATTTACGAATTTATAAAGAAATAAATATGAAAGCAATTTTTATTCATAAAAATTTGTTAAATTATGAAATAATGTGAATCAACTATAATAAAATCTTTACTGTTTACCATTTTATAAAGTTCGAATCAATTGACAATTAGCCAATGTTTTACCAGCAAATCTAAATAACACGATTCGCCAGTTTTCGGCAATTGACTGACAGATTTTCCACTTACATTTAAAATTGAAAATTTAAAATCTAAATAACACGATTCGCCAGTTTTCGGCAATTGACTGACAGATTTTCCACTTACATTTAAAATTTTTACAGTCACACTTGGTTGACAATAAATGCACTTTTGGCAGATTTTCTATTTATTTTTAGAAAAATTAACGATTTAATTTTTTTCCAAACTGATATTTTTAAAAAAAAAAAAAAAAAAGAATATGAAATTGAGGGTGCAACCTATAATTTCTGGAGTTTCAGGTCTTGGATTACTATTGATTATTATTGATTAGTATTGATTAGGCATCCTTGATCCTGGAAATATATTTTTATTTAAAAGATCTTGTTTTATAGTTCATAGACACTTTTATAAAATTATGAATAAAAAAATCATTTTCGTGGTTATTTCTTTATAAAATGGTAAATAATAAATATTGCATTGTAGTTGGTTTACATATTTTGAAACGTTTGTAGATTTTTATCGTTTTTTAATAAAATATTTCTTTTTAAATTTATTTCTTTATAAAATGCTAAATAATAAATATTTATAAAAATGCTAAATAATAAACACCGTATTGTACTTTATCCACATCTTTTTATAATGTTGTATCTGAACATAGAGCTATGAACAGAAAAGCTCAAATTTTGAAAAACCTTCTTTTTTATGGCGGTTAAACTTTGCCGACAGTTTATTCATTTTGACAAGAACAGAATAACTAAACTGATTTATCGATTTGTTTTTTTATTGCAGTATAATTGATTTTTAATAGCCATTTAACAGGTTTAGCTTTGGCATAAACCTGAGGTACCAAGTGTAAATTGAACACGCCAAGACACGTTCAATTCGTTTGCTAAGTACCGCACTAGACTCTGAACTGAGCGCCATTGCATTGTTTTGTACATATATAGTCAGGAACTCCTTCTGTTTGTCTCAAGGTCCTTGATAAAATCCAGAGACGGATATGCAATGTAATTGGCCCTGATCTGGCATCTCGTCTACAGTCGGTCTCTCACAGACGTGCCGTCGCCTCCCTCTGTCTTTTTTACAAATGCTTTCACAGTAACTGCTCCGGTGAGCTGCTTTCGTTGGTTCCCAGACTTTATGAATTTAAGCGTTCTACTAGGTTGGCATCTCGCTCTCACCCTTTAATTGTCGAAACTATTAAATGTAGCCGTCTTTTGTGCTTCATGTCTCACACTTCTCGCATATGGAACTCCCTCCCCTTTTCCTGTTTCCCTGATAGCTATAATCTCCTACTATTTAAATGTAATGTCAATCGACGTCTCCAGATGCCCTGATCTATCCCCTATCTTTCTGTTCATTCTTTCCTCTATCACTCCTTTTTGCTCTCGCTCCAACTCTCTGTAACCTCTTGCGTGCTAGTGGCTTCCCGCCTTTCTTGGGGTGAAACGCTTAAAAAAAAAAAAAAAAAAAAGAAAAGAAAAGATGATGAGAATCATCAAAATAAACATGTGGTTCATGTAAGCATTTGAAACGCACTTACAATCTTCGCTGTCTTTATTTATCCTTTCTCTTTTCGTTTGTCTTTCTTTTAAACTTCTTTCTCTCGGTGTTTTAAAACTTAAGATTTTTTTTTCAATTAAAAGAAATATCTGTTTTATAATTTGATCTCACTAAGATATATATCAGCACATCTCAATCCAGTGTAAGTTGCATTAACGTATCTACCCATTAGACGCATGGCACTTGGTAAAATCAGATTTATAGAATCACATGAATATAAAAATGTAAAGCGTGACTTAAAACAACATTTTCATAGCGTTCATTTGCTTAATTTAAAATATATTCGAATGATTTTATTTCACTGTTAAAATACACGAAACACGATTATATTTCTTCTGAATTCCAATTGTCCCATACTTTATTAAAAACATAGTTACGCTGTAATGAAAACGACCTTAAAATAACTTTGCTTATCTCTATATACATATATATTAATCTTGAGCCAACTCGTTTTTACTTACTCTTTATGTGTGTGTGTATGTGTGTGCTGGGGGTGCGCGCTACAAAATTTTAGTTCAAGTGGAGGAAAAAGAAAAAAACAACTCAAACAATTCACAGATTTGACACGTCCAAGGTTAACTGATGTAAGATCTCCCGCTTAGCCAACAACGTTCACGTTCGCGCAAACTCATTTAAGAAAGGCATGAACCCATCTTTTCTTTTCTTTTTTTCTCAACGACCAGCTATGAATCGTAGAGTACACTAGCCTCTCTCGTTTTGGGTGGCAACCATACTAGAAGGAGAAATCTGAATTCCAGACCGCAACGAGAAACCACTCCACTATTTCTACCCAGAAGCCATGACAAATCACAGATAATAAAGAAACGTTTAAAAAAATGTATGTAAGATAAACGTCGACGAACGACTTTTTTTTTGTGATACTTCCTCTTTTAATACTGACAGCTTTATAGTCTGGCTCCAACTGTAGCAAAATATTTCAGTCACTTGATTGATAATTTTAAAATGGGGATTGATGAATTTGGTAATAGAGCCATTGCTAATGAAATCGTCGTCTCTGGGACTGAACTGCGGAATGTTTTAACAGCTGACGGAAAATGCGCCATAGAAATCCTGAGGCACATGGCCCAGAGGATAAAAGCGTCGGTTGGATCCAGTGATTTGACCCAAAAAGTTGTGGCTACTGCAATGGTGAACAAAAACTTGAAGAGTTAGCTTGATTGAGTTAAAGGGAGATAACTGATACATCCGGAAGAGGCATGGCACGTAGAACTAGAACAATCTATCCCGGTGGACGAAATAAAGGATTCACTTCGAAATTCCAATCACCTGAAGAAGGCCGTGGTGAATATAGCAATAAAGACGAGGACAGCAGTCCGAACAATGTGAATTAATGTAAATCCCAAGGCGTATTGGAATAAACAAATATGCCTTACAAAAGCTAGACAAAGTATTAAGATATAGGAAAATTTTGTTAGAAATGAAGAAAACAGGGCTGAACAACTATGTAATGTCAGTCCTCCTGTATGGCAATGAATGCGGGACAATTTTCAAGCAGATGAAGAGTAGACTAAAGACAACAGAGATACACATCTACAGAAGGATACTGAGGGGTAGATTTGAGGCAACAGAAATTCTACAGAAGGAAACTGAAACTGCCATGGACTGATCATGTGAGGCAGGAAGAAATTTGAAAGTAAACGGAAACAGAATGACATACGTTCAGGGCGGCCCAAAAGTCTTGTCACCCCCATATAATTTCCTATTTCAGATGGCTGACTCGAAAATGATGGTGTTCATACAGACGTTCTCGATGTGTGATAGCGTCAATGAAAGTGAATAAACTGAATCCAGTACATGTGCTTTGTATTATTGTATTACCTGTTCTATTCTCATTATTTTTTTTATTTTTATTTTTTTTTTTTCAGTAAGGAGTGACAAGACTTTCGGACCACCTTGTAGAATCATTAAAGAGGTAGTTGAATCTTCTGGGACACATAATGAGGAAAAAGTGCTTGGAGAATTTGACACACTCAGGACATACCGTATATATTCGGGTATAGTGCGAGTTTTTATGATCAGTTTTTTTTTTTTACGCAAAATGAATCGAGGGCCGTGCTATACAGAGATAATATTTAGAAGAGGTTAAAATTCATTTTAAAAGAGATTAAAAGCATTTTCGATGACCAGTTGCACTATACGCAGGTACGTTTTAAATAGATTCCTCTTCGCTCTCCGTTAAGCAACAACCACTGCCCAGCAGCAACAACAGAGAGCCTCTCTGGCAGCACACATTTAAACAAGTTTGGACAACACTGCTTGAACTTAACCCTCTAACTCGACTGGCCCTCGGGTCTTGTGGACCATATTGTAAAAAAAAAAAAAAAAAAAAAAGAAAACCCTGAAAGGACAGCGTAAAAGATGAAGATGATGATTGGGCTGACGAAAGGTTAGCTTTATTATTGCAATGGTCGTGGCGCCATTCAGCGGTTCCCAACCATTTTTTTTTTAGCTGATGGTCCACTTTAAACCCAGAAATTTTCTGTGTCCCATGAAATTGTTATAGTGTGAAAAAATTACTTCCATTTTACATTGAATATATCCAATTATAAAATTTCTGTGACCCACCTGAAATTTGTCATGGTGCATTTGGGCCGTGTGGCCATGGGTTGGGAATCACTTGCATAAATGATTATGAGGCTGGTAAAGTTGAATGAACTTGATTACGGTTATTTTATTCTAATCGCTGTCATTCGAATGCAAGTTAAACAGATGAAAAGAGAATGAAAAGCGCAAAGAGGAAAAAGTGAAGAGAATTGTTTGGGGAGGAGCAATAATTATTCGAGAATAATAAGAGTGGGTCGTTTCGTTTCCTTGACTCACTGCCTGCTAAACTTTTTCCTCGTTTTGCGCCTATCAATCAAATGTGGTCTGGGGTAGAAGTAACACGGAAATCAGAAAAGGGCATTGAATACAGTAAATGAAAAGTAAAAAAAAAATAAAAATAAAATAACCCGAGTTAAAATGAAATTAAAATGAAAGGTAAAAATACAGGAAGTAGAAAAGAAGAAAAAAGAAGTTAAAAGGAAAACGAAAAGAAGAAAACAATTCAAGAAGAAGAAGAAAAAGAAGAAGAAGAAGAAGGAGGAGGAGAAGAAGAAGAAGAAGAAGAAGAAGAAGAAGGTGGTGTTTATAAGCGAACAGGAATTACATGGGAACGGCTGGTATTCGTAAGCATCAAGTCATAAAAGCGGCGTCTATAAATAAACTGGATCACGTCGGTCGGGGTCAGGTGAAAGCGTGGGAATCGTTGCTCAAGCAAGCCGGGCAACTTCGCGCTGAATGTGACGTCATCTGATCATGAGACTCGCATTCCGATGCGACTTGGTGGTCGTGCAGGTAGCCAGCCCATGGCGAGTGACTGGACCTGTCGTCCTGGACGCAGAGACAGCAAAGCTATGCCCAAAATGAAATGGCATTGCATTGTTGTTGAGCAAGCTCTTTCACGCATATATCGGGTTTGTCATGTGTGATGAGATTTCATTAACGCTGACAGTGGATATCTATTTCAATTTTCTCTCTCTATCTGTTCTCTCTCTCTCTCTCACTCTCTCTCTCTCTCTCTCTCTACTCTCAATCTCTCTTTCTTCCCACCTCCTCTCTCTGTCTATCACCTGTCTCTGTCTGTCTGTCTCTCTCTTTCCCAGTTTTCATATTGTCTCTTCTTTCTCGCTCTTGTTTTTCTTTTTCTCTACCTATCGCTATTTGACGATCTGTCTTTCTCATTGAAACTTTTTTCTGACACTCTTCAAACTATCTTTCTTCTTTCTCCCGTCTTCTCTCTGTCTGTCTATTTCCCAGTTTTCTCTCTCTCTCTCTCTCTCTCTCTCGCTCTATTTTCTTTTACTATCTCTATTGTAATTTGTCTCTCTGTTTATCTGTCTCTCTTATTGAAACTCTTCTCTTACACTCTTTGTCTCTGTTTCTTCTCTCTCCCCTTCTCTCCCTGTCAGTCTGTCTCTTTCCCAGTTTTCCTCTATCTCATTCCTTCCTCTCTCTTTATCTCTCTTTCTTTTTCTAGCTCTGTTGTTATTTGTCTCTCTGTCTATCTGTCTCTCTCATTGAAACTCTTCTCTGACACTCTCCTTCTCTGTTTCTTCTCTCCCCATTCTTTTTCCATCTTTCTGGTTGTCCCTCTCTCTAATTCTCTCTTTCTTCCTCAGACTATTCTCTCTCTCTCTCTCTCTGTCTCTCTCTATCTTCTATCACTCTGTTATTTCTTTCTGTTGCCCTGTTTATTTTTCTTATCTCTCTCTTTCTTTCTATGTGTCTCGTCTCTCTGCCTCCTTCCTCCTCTCTCTCTCTCTTTCTCTCATCCTATTTTTCTTTCTCTTATCTCTCTCTCTCTCTCTCTCTCTGCCTTTCAAGCTTCTCTCTCTCTCTTTTTTTTCTCTCTTTTTCTCCTTATCACTCTCTGTCTGTCTTTCTCTATCCCTCTCGTTGTTCTACTTTTATTCAGTTTCTTTCCTTTATATCCTCGCTTTTCTCTCAGTACAAAGCTAATTGACGGAAAAATAGAAAGCACCAAGATTGTGTTGCGCCAATCTTCTGAATGAAGATATTATATTTACCTGTTTAAAAACTCGAAATATTTTTCTTTCGTTTTTTCCTGTTTACCTATGTTTCAACATCAACCTCGAGAAGGGGAAGAATCTATAATTATTTTAACTATGAAACAAACTCTACCCCCTCAAACTATCTATCTATCTATCTTTCTCAGTCTGTTCAATATCTATCTATCTATCTATCTATCTATCTATCTATCTATCTATCTATCTATCTATCTATCTTTCTCAGTCTGTTCAATATCTATCTATCTATCTATCTATCTATCTATCTATCTATCTATCTATCTATCTATCTTTCTCAGTCTGTTCAATATCTATCTATCTATCTATCTATCTATCTATCTATCTATCTATCTATCTCAGTCTGTTCAATATCTATCTATCTATCTATCTATCTATCTATCTATCTATCTATCTCAGTCTGTTCAATATCTATCTATCTATCTATCTATCTATCTATCTATCTATCTATCTCAGTCTGTTCAATATCTATCTATCTATCTATCTATCTATCTCAGTCTGTTCAATATCTATCTATCTATCTATCTATCTATCTATCTCAGTCTGTTCAATATCTATCTATCTATCTATCTTTCTCAGTCTGTTCAATATCTATCTATCTATCTATCTATCTATCTATCTATCTATCTATCTATCTATCTCAGTCTGTTCAATATCTATCTATCTATCTATCTATCTATCTATCTCAGTCTGTTCAATATCTATCTATCTATCTATCTATCTATCTATCTATCTCAGTCTGTTCAATATCTATCTATCTATCTATCTATCTATCTATCTATCTATCTATCTATCTCAGTCTGTTCAATATCTATCTATCTATCTATCTATCTATCTATCTATCTATCTATCTATCTATCTCTATCTATCTCAGTCTGTTCAATATTCATCTCTATCTATCTATCTATCTATCTATCTCTATCTATCTCTATCTCAGTCTGTTCAATATCTATCTATCTATCTATCTATCTATCTATCTATCTATCTTCGAACCTTGTGGAATGGCGCTGCAGAATCATAAAAACGAACAGTACCAACAAAGAAAAAAAAGCGAAACCACATCACTTTAGTATTTTCAACAACAGCAACAATTAAAATACTAAGTTGGACAGAAAGAACTGATTCACTTGATCTTTCTCAGGTGGAATTTCCAAGGCGTACTACATTTCAATCTTGTTCCACACGGTCGTACCATCAACACTAAACTGTATTGCCAGCAGCTAGACCGCATGTATGACAAACTAAGTAAGGAGTATCATTCTTTGGTCAATCGTGGTTGGGCTTTGTTTCAGGAAGACAATGCAAGGCCACACACTGCCAGGTTGACTAAGGAAAGGTTCAAACAGGTGAATGGTGCTGAGACTCTTCCACATCCACCATTCAGTCCCGATGCAGCTCCGGGTGGCTATGGCCAATTCCGCTCAATGAGACACTTCCTCCATGATCAGCGATTCAACACTTTTGACGAAGCGTGTTTCCAGTTGTTTTTGTTTATTATTATTATTCAAAGCCAATGGACTGGTATCTGGGACAGAATCGGATGCTGACTGATCGCTGGCAAAAGATCGTCGAGAATGTCGGATTCATTTTGAAGAATAATTATTGGTGTTGCTCCACCATTTTTATTGTTGTTTTTTTTCTGCTTCCTAAGTGAGTCAGAACTTTCCGGCCAAATTATTAGCGAGCAGATGTAAGTTGAAGAGAAAATAATGACATAAGCAAAATGTTGACATTCCACACTACTTCAAACAAAAGGTGAGGAAGGAAACCTCCCACCAATACGGAAACGATCGATAACAGTGAACTTGAGAAACGTATTTTCCAAAGAAATTGTTTTCATAAAAATGTTTAATAAATTTCAACATTCAGTAGTACCGGTTGTTCGATCTACAAATACCGGATATTTACTTATAAGGAAACGGCTAATATTACCAGTATTGTTGATATAAATGTTGATCTGCTTAATAAACCGGATTTGCTTCGAAATAGCCTTGGTTGAAGTTTCGAAATTCTTAACAGTTACCTCATATCTCGTGAGAAAACTCTTACAGAATTATGCTAATGCCACAGCAGAATAACGACATATTTGTAAAATCTGCAATAGCAATTAGCTACACAGTTTTACTCTTTAAAAAATGAAGATTAATCTATCATGTTCTTTGTGATGACTGTCGACGCCTAAGGAAAGATTGAAATGTCAGACAAAAAAAATTTATTCTCTACTTTACGCATTTAAACCGTTTGTTTGTACCACAGCTACCTACCTACCTATATTAGGGAAAAATGTATGACAAAGTGATAAAAAAAAACTTGTCTTGTCGCGCGTTTCGTCCTTTAGGATGTCATCGGACTAAATTTTGTTATACTGGTGCGACTACACATGCGCGTGTATGAGGGATGCCGGGAATTTAAAATTCATTTTATTTTATTTTTTATCTAACTGATTACATTTAGACTCTTTTCCGTTTTCTTTCCATCACTTTTGTTAGTAGATATTCCCCACTGTGATAACAGAAGTTCTGCCAGGAAGGTTGAAATGTAGGAGCCTGGATACAAATTTACTGTAGATGACTTTTTGATCAAGACACTCTTCAGACATTTTCGTTGTAGTGAATTGATTTTGATCGGAGTAGCGTCTTCTATTCCAAAATTTTGGTCAGTGTCGTTACGGTTGGCAACCAACGCATTTGATGTATTGTTTGGTAAAATGTCCTTTTGTGTTCAAATAATCTTTTACTTAGATTACTTGAGATTTTTCCTATATATTTTCTGTGACAATTATTAGAGGCAATCGAATAAATACCTACTTCGCCTGTAATAATTGTCACAACAATAAATACATACTCACACACACACACACACACACACACACACACACACACACATATATATATATATATATATATATATATATATATATATATATATATATATATATATACTGTGTAATTAAGCAACAATCCCTCATTTATACATGTTTCATTAAAGACAACAGATAAGGTACTGCCATTAAGCTTTTGTTTCATTTTTCTTGTGTTCGAACAAGTGTTTTCTTTTCTGGAAACAGAGTGTGTAGAAACTGTCCAAATGTTTTGTAATTCCGAGCGATTTCAGCTATACTTTTAACCATTTTCAAGGATTTTTTTTTTTTTTTTGCATTTTAACTGGATATATGGGCTTTGTGTGTGTTTCTAGATTCATAAGGACGTTTTATTTTCCGAACACAGCACATTGTGGCAATCTTCGTAGTTAATATGTATCAATTATTTATTTAGTATCGATAAAAAGAATACCCGCTCGGCCCGGTGGCTAGGATCAAGGTGTAGTATCTGCGCTTTGTGGGCTGCCGGGTCGGGTGTCTGTCGAACTCTCTGCTTGCAGAGAGGAACCCGGACGAAACTCTGCCGAAGGGTAGGGTTTCGTTCGGGGAGGTTGACGGAACTAGCCTGCTTGGACGGGTTTAGATGGGTTTTATTTTTGGCTGGGCCTACGGGCTCAGACATACCCACATTAAAAAGGCCTTGTGCCACATTCAATTCCTGTGGGTGAATTGATAAATACCATCTTCGTAGTTAATATTATTGAGTGTTGGCTTTTTCTTGTTTTATTATTAAGGCTTCCATTATTTTTAATCCTTTTTACATGTAGATGAGGTTATTATTCTTCTATTTTCTACTAGCATGTTTCGCGTGGAGTCTGGTAGGTTTGTGCCTGTGTTTAAATAGGAGCTGATGGAGCTATGGTAGGATAAATGTAACGTAAGTCGTCTGGATAGGCATGTAGTAGTACGACCGATGTAATTCTTTGTGAGTTCGGTTTCGTCATGAACACAGTTCCTTAAGGGGCATTTGAAGTTCAAATGCCCCTTACAGCGGTCACACTACTACATGCCTATCAAGACGCCTTAAGTTACACCTATCTGAACATAGCTTCATCAGCACCCAAAATAAAACACACACAAACCTACCAGACTCCACCCGAAACATACTAGTAGAAAATACAAGTATAATAACCTCATCTACATGTAAAAAAAAATAAAATAATGGAAGCTTTAATAATAATTTTTTAAAAAAGACAACACTCAATATTAACAACGAACACGGTCACAGTATGCTGTGTTTGGAAAATAAATACATCCCTATAACTCTAGAAACATACACACAACCCATACATCCAGTTAAAAAGTAAAAATAAAATTAACCTTGATAATGGCTAAAAGTATAGGGGAAAGCTATAGCTGAAAGCGCTCGGAAATACAGAATCACAGTACATTGCATCTCGAAGTGGTATAAGTTCGATCCTCACTAGGCGCTCCATACGTTCGACCTTGTGCCACATTTAAAGCTACAATTAGAAAATCATTGTTTTGTTAGGTCAGTTATGACTGAGTTGCGAATTAGATCTTTAATGGGTGCTCCTTGATCTCGATCTTGTGCCACAACATACTGCGCTTAGAAAATCACCTCATATATATATATATATATATATATATATATATATATATATATATATATGGTCTGTGCGAAAGAAGGAGTGGGTATGTTACTTGTTAAAGGTATAATATTTGTAAATGTACTTTTATACTGCAAGTTAATGCTTGGATATCTTATACAGACACCTGATAAAATCTATACACCTGATGATCACGGATTTCACAAGCGTATTCGAGTAACAGAAGTGAAAATCAAGATCTCCGTGGATGGTTGCTGTTTGTTTAATTGATTTCTATAACAGCACGACTTGGGAAAGGACCAGCACCTTTATCGTAAATGTTACATACGAAATGCGAAAGCAATTTACAGACCCTTCGGAATGCATTTTGAAGAACAAAATAGCGATTTTCTCCACATTCCACTGCACAGACGATTTCGTTAAAACCTCGGACAATTCTCAAACTGCTATCAGTAATTCTCAAATAAACGCTATCTAATTTTTTTTTTTTTTTGACAAACTACTTCAAATCAACGTCATTCCAATTAACTAAATTTGAAATTTGATAGACATCCGGGTGAAATCGTGTGAAAGCTGATGTCGTTTGGGCAAGTTCAAAAAGAAAGTCATTTTCAACTTATTCATGATTCTATGATTAAAGTCTAGTAAACTTCCTCGCCACCTGCCAAAGCGTTTTTTTTTTTTTTTCTTCGAAGGAAATTATCAAGCTTTTCGAAATTTCGAACAAGGCTCAGTACGCGGCATATGCAACTTGTTTATTCACTATGTTTTCTTTTCTTTTTAAAAAAAAAAAATAATAATTTTCACCATATACAATGGCTCAAGAGCCACTCAAGCTAGAGCGCTACTGAATGCGGTTGTTGTGTGAGCGGTAAGTGTTTATGCGGATATGTGAGAACGATAGCGGTGAACCCGAGACTTAAACAGGTTAACATTTTAGTGATAGGGATTCTGTACCACAAAGTGGCAGTTCTTACTCCTCCCTAATTAAAGGTGGTTTGCCACAACGTAGGCGGCGTAGCGGGTCTGGGAGGGTTAGAGTTGGAAGAACTAAGGAATGTGGCTCATTTGAACATTGTCCATGGGAAAAGAGGCAACGTAGCGTGGGACTTGCAATTCTTCGTTTGTGGGGAAAAGGGGTTGTAAGGTTGAAAGCAATTCATCACCCACAGGGCCGCGGAGATGCTTTTGAACGCTATCAGAACTGGTAAGTGAAGACTGGGCAGCATCAGCCCAAATATGGCAGCAGTCCTCCATGTTTGACCTGATCTGACTCTTGTAAAGGTAGAGCATAGCAAGAAGAGTCTGGTACTGATTAGAATGGCACAGGGAACCGACCATTTTTCCAGCATCTTTAGCGATGGATCGTATGTACGAACTCTACTTAAAGACTCGGGTCAGTTTAAGTTCCAAAAGGTGTTCCAGGCAAGGAACCTTACTGAGAGAACTCCTGCAATAGACGAAAATGTAATGTTTCAATGTTTATAATGACCGCATGCACTTATAAACCCTAAAACACTTAGACCCTAAAATAATTCATATATATGTCGATGTACTTAGTATCTCCTTCACTAGGCTTTCTCTCTTGTTCTTGTAACGGCATTCACCCGGGGTGGGTTGAGCCGGCTCCAATATTAGAGTTTCATGGGAATTTGGAATTCACAAGCGGGCCCCAACCGCATGTATAGCACATGAGATTTGATTATAGTGGTGAAGGTTTCGTGCAGGACCATCCACACTTTTTGAAGGACCGAATACAGAGACCTGGTGCACTACGTCCCTTCCGCAGGTTTTGAATTCAGAGTTGTCCTTCTCCTAGACCAATTGCCATCTAAGGCTATAAAACCCAGTCTATCCTGCTATTTACCCATAGCTGGAAGGAGAAGAAGAGGATTCACACCTTTCCCGAGGGTATTAGCACGTAAGTGAATGTGATGGATTCGACTTGAATTCGAACTCGGCTCTCCGATTCCTCAATCCAAGCCGCTATCCATTACTCCTCCATGCCTTCACTGGTCTTAAGACAGCTTATATGTTCTAATACCAGCAACAGATTTGCGAATATTTCTTTTAATGCTTGAATGTTTCTCCACACCTTCCTTTTCTTTATTGTAAATTACTATACATTATTAGGAAAGATAGTGGAGTGGTTTCCGTTGCCTTCTCTACGGTTTGAATTTTCCTTCTCGTAGACTTTAAGACCTAGGAGTACAGTTTACCCTGCCATTTGAGTCATATGAGGAAAGAATAGATTGATTCATGCCTTTCCCAAGGCTATTTGTACGAAAAGTGAATGCAACAAACTAAATCGGAATTTGAACTCGGTTCGCCAAGTTCAGGTTCTACAATGATAGCCATTAAGCTACATGCACATACTTAAATACAGATAAGGTTGATAATTCTCATGTAACTAGTTCATTTCATTGTAATCAACCGTATCTGATATACCGGACAATAAATATACAGAAAAAAATTCGCAAATCATTTTTGACACGTTCGATACTTCACAGAACCTTCTCCATAAACTGGACAAGTCTCTTTTTTTTTTTAGTTTGTGTTTATTAAATAGAACTTTACTTTCTTAAAAATAATTTTTATACTAAAGTTCATCCAAAACAATATTCGAGAGCCACGCAAGGTAGAAAATTACTATTAAATTAATATCATGGAGATAAGGAGAGTAGATTGACCCATGACTTGAGGGGATTAAGGGTTCAGAAAAGCATCCACTCAGGATTTGTTACACGAAGTAACATTTTTTTGAGCAACGAAACTATCTTCTTTTTTTTTAAGCAAATCGTTCCAAACAAGGCGGGGGTGCCTCTAGCACACAAGGGGTTACAGGGAGTGAGAACAAGAGTAAAAAGGGATGTTTGGGAAAAGGATAAAGAGAATAACAGGGATCAAGCTCAAGGCATCAGAAGATGTTGATTGACATTACATTTGAATATTTGAAGATTATAGCTATCAGGGAAGCAATTGATAGGAAGAGAGTTCCCCTGACGGGTGGTGCGAGATATGAAGCTGCTAGAGTAGAAGAGCCAGTGAAAGGGAGGGCCCGAGATGCCTACCTAGTAGCACGCTTAAATTCATGCAGTTTAGGAACCAGCGAAAGTAGCTCGTCGGAACAGGTGCCATGAAAATACTTGTAGAAAAGACAGAGGGAAGCCACAGCATGTCTGTGAGATAGTGATTGTAGACGGGATGCCAGATTAGGACCAATCACGTTGCATATCCGTATCTGGATTTTGTCGAGGATCTTCAGATGAACAGCGGGAGCACCAGACCATATATGGCAGCAGTATTCCATGCAAGGGGGAAAGGTTGATTTGTAGATTTGAAGGATGGACTCAGGCGAGAAAAAACTTCTGGCTCCACATAGAGAACCAACATTCCTTGCGGTAGATGAAGCTATAGATTCAATGTAGTTGTTCCACGTCAGGTCAGTGGACAGCGTGAGACCAAGCAGACGCAGAAAGGCGCTCTCGTGGTGTCTGAAAGGGAGGGTTCTCTATGGTGGTTAAATGAGAGCAGTTTCGTTTTAAAGACATTAATGTTTACAAGCCATTTCCTGCCCCAGTCAACCACAGATTGGAGGTTCTTCTCGAGGCTTACGGCCAGGTTAGTTTTGTCAACAATGTCGGATTTACTTTTGAGGCCGGAATAAATAGAAGTGTCGTCAGCGTAGATGCCATGTTGGGCGTTGATGACATCAGGAAGATCTAAACTGAACTCTCTCTTGAGATTTGAATACAGAAGAAATAAGGGTGATTCGACTCCGTGGAAATTGCATGGCGTGTCCTAGAAGAAAAGGTCTGAACTGGTGGGGTGGAGTACTTTTCAAACTCCTGAAATAACAGGAAAAGAGTTCAAGATAGCCTTTTCATTTTTTTTTCCGCCTTCGGATATTTTCTGTTAAGTCACCCCAAATAATGTAAAGTTATTTATTGCGAATATTAATTCACCCCAAGAAATTATAAATTTTAAATAAAAGTTTGTTTGTTTGTTTTTTTTTTTATTTTAAATTTTTGCCGTTCTTTTGAAATTATAAATTTTAAATCAAAATTTGTTTGCTTTTTATTTCATTTTTGTCATTCTTTTAAAATTATAAATTTTAAATCAAAATTTGTTTAGCTTGCCTCGGGACAACTCCAACAGAATGAAAAATTGCCAAAAACCTGTGAGTTTCGAGGTACTTACAAAGATGTTTTCGGCTTGCCATCGTGGTGAGCGCGAACGTAGACCCCACACTTAGAAATAGCGTACCCGAGTCACCCACATTTGGGGGTGATGGCAATAGGCCAAACCACCCGGAATGCACTTGAAGGAACTCGCTCTTGGAGGATTAGTTGTGAATTTTAGTAAATATAAATTATTTTTTTTTTTTTTTTATTATTTTGGGGTGAATTAAATTTGGGGATGAATTAATAGACAAGATCGCTGTCTTCAATGTTAAATCAATAAATGATAACGCTGGCAATTTAAAAAAAAATGGATGCTGATAAAACTGCTACCACAACAGAATTATATATTTTCTGAATGAATTTAATTAAAAACATCGCTTATGCCATCAAACTACAAAAACAAAACGCCTATTTCATGCCTTCGGGTTTCGGTATCGCCTTTTTCTACCCTCTGTTAAAAACAATTCCTAAATTGAAATATTTTTGCACTTGTTTAATTTTCGTATCTCCAATTTCTAATTCGCATGTTGAACTCTTTCGTTTGCTGACAACCAGATATTCTGTCTTCTTAGTGTTGGTGTTTATTCCTTTCTTTTTTGTCCTTGTTGATTACTCTCCTTAAATGAAACTCGCGTATTGTTTAGGGAGCGACCTTTTCCTTTGTGAAATGTACACGATTAAGACTAAGAGTAATAAAAAATAAAAGTCCTCAATAAAGTTGAAACGTGATCGCTTGCAGTCTCTTTTCTTTTTATTTCTGTTCGACTTCAAAAGAATGGACGTAGCACGTCCAGTCTCATAAATATCATTATCTTCGCTGCCATCAGATTCTGCAAAATTTACGTCGTATCATTTTTTATTTAGATTTATTTTAACAATCTATATTATAAAAGAATAGCAGATTCTCTGTCCATCACACCCCGCCTGCGTGTGATTTTAAATGCGCGTATTTATTGAATATACCCACCAAGGAGGCACGATGGAGTAATGGATAGCGCCCCGGATTGGAGAATCGGAGAGCCGAGTTCGAATTCCAATCAAATCTATTACATTACGTGCTAATACCCTTGAGAAATATATGAACCC